GTCTACCATTCGAATCGATCGTTAAACAGATCTTAGATCATATGTTTGGCGGGCATATGATATTACTTTCACGAATTGATCCTCATCACCGCAGAAGCCTTCGTTTCTGCAAAAAATAAGTCCATACCCCCCCTCGGTAAGCTAACAAGCAACTAACTTACCAGATGAGTGAATTTGTCATGCATTGCACGGCGGAGGTCACCACGGTCCTATAGCATCTGAGAATTTACAGGCGTTAGATTCCTTACGCAGTGACACTTAGCAAAGTTTGAGCTTCCTTTGACAGATCGAACAGCACGTAATATGAAGCCCAATCGTTCACTAGGATTAGATTAGAATCGCTAATCCAATTTTTCTGTTTATTCAATTAGAATTACGATCATATGTATTCATTTTTGGCATCAACAGAAATGGAGTACAAGAAATAATAGAGCAGATAGTAATGAGAATATCATAACTGCAAAATATCGATAGAAAATGCGTAGGAATTGTGGGATTGTACAGCGTGCGACTCAGCAAGGACACTTCTTGCAATGGTCTGAGTGTAGCGGCATAAAAAAAGACATTGACTGCACAGACGAGTAAAAGAGGCATCACTCATCCGATCCTGTGAAAATGTCAACCGTGACAAAGGATACGAACTCTGCGCGGACTGCAGTAGCCAGTGTTGACTATAAGTAAATTAACCAGCAACAAGAACCGAAAGCTTGCCTTCTCCCTCTGAACTCATCAACTGCTGTAGGAGACGAAAATTCATGAAATTCCATCCACCTACCCTAAACAAAACCCGTCACACAGGGGTCAAAAGGTCGGTATTAGTCAGTCACCGGATTGACCATATTATCTTTTGCGTCATGCATTATTAAACCGTAATTCATACTACTTTCTCGGTATAAACTTTGCAGCTGACTTGGGATGTCATCCACAGATGCTCAAACACTGGTGCAAAATGCAGCACTGGCGACATGGTCTGACGCTCCTACTCCCAGCCCCCTCCCCCACCGAAATGTCAAGCTGCATATTGACCAGCTCAGTGACGACCAGAGCAACGAACCAATCGATCAGCCGTCCAGGCCAGACGCGTTATAATCAACCTAAACTACCGGTCACACACGAAACCAACTTCTTCGCTCTTTAGAACTCTGAAGCGATTCACGGCTATCGCACCGATTTGAAATCTGCATCGCCACTCAGTTAATAGTAGCCTATTCGCAGGTGCTAAAAATGTAAATATTTGTTTTTACAAACTTCGTTAAACAGTTCAGTTTATTGTAAAAATTGTTTTGTGTTAACTTCTCTTATTATCATTTTATCTTCTGTCATTTTTGCAGTTTCCAGTTGTGATCAGACCATTTCTGACGATAACAACCGCTTACCAAAGCCAATAAAGTTGACGATTGATCTATTGATGATTATCAGGCACAAAAGCAGTGACGACGCTTTTATTTCAGAGAACGCTTGACGTGAACAACAGGGTTATGCCGTAAACACAAGCCAAATACGCTAAATAAATTCTGTTTTGTTGTGGTGATATTGTATGCATGTTTCTGATGTGTCGACTGCATAAGCCACTATCAGTGATTATGAAACCTTCAACTGTTGGCATAATTTAGAATGCAATGAGAATCCATCGCGCATCAAAAAACTGCCGACCATATAAGGCATCAAGTGTACTAATGTAAAAAACAGCACAAAGGATAGTTCAGTGAACTGACATACATAACGCCATTAATTTGGTGAAGTAGATGAGTGACCAGCACAGGCGTTTCGGCCTGTGTCGATGGCCTTCCCAAGATGGAGAGATGGGTCAGCATTGGAAGTCTATTCAATCTTTCACAGCAGCATGAGAGAAGACCAGAGAGAGACGAGCAAAAATGTCGATACCGGTTAATCATTAGATGGATCAAATCGTTTGCCTCCTGCACGAATAAACCTATTTATTAATCTGCCTATATTTTCTTATTACAGTATTCATGTTTCTGAACAGCTTAGATGCTTGAGATCCAATTTCCCACTCATATGTTAGCATTGGAGTAATGAACTAACGGAACAGACTAACGGACTAATGAACTCTACAGTTTAACAATAGAAACAGTAATCCGCCGGATAGGAACATTTTCGGTCCATGTAGTGTTTCGTATCATTTTTATTCTTCTGTTGATTCCAATTGCCGGTTTGCCATTGCAGGGATTGCCTGTGTCACATATATGCACGTTGTTTTGCACTCCTTCAAGCCTACGTTCGTACACTTCAACAGGTCGCTGGCTCATGTGTTTGCTGAACATGGCCTAAGTCTTGCTCAGGTTGGTTTTCAGTGTAACTTTTTTAGTTGGTGTCGTTCAGCTCCTGAACCACTGTTTGGCGTTCTTGTGGCGACCTTGAGAGAATCGCACTATCGTTTACGAACCACAAAAGGCTTAAATAGCGTTTATTATAGCTTTAGTCCTCCATTCTGTCGACGAAGTTTCTTCAGAATCTCTTCTAAGGCCGTTGTGACTATCTATGATGATATCGCACCTATCTATAGTATGCCCTTTTTTGATTCTGAACTTGCTTGTGAATTCATGAAGATGCTCTCCAACCGTTGCATTCCTGTAAATCGCAAAAACGATTTAATGGTTAAGAATGGAAGAACTTACCATCACTGGACCGGAGAGATTTTAAACTTGATTCCAAGAGATGGTAAACAGACCGTAGGAAGAATTCCGGATCGATGGTAGCATGAGCTGAAGAAGTCAGCTGGATCAGTATGGCAGAAAATATCTTGGAAAAACCTTCTTCCAGCTGTGGAACGACAAAAGCTGATAATCAGCAAGGCCAGTTTAGTGCTGTCCTCGTAAGGCCACCAGTGCAAGAAAAAAACCTAATCTAACTAACAAA